GTCGGTGATCCAGTTGGTCCTGTCGGGGATCCAGTTGGTCCTGTCGGGGATCCAGTTGGTCCTGTCGGTGATCCAGTTGGTCCTGTCGGTGATCCTGAACATCCACATCCGCTACCAGAAGAACCATTACCATTTCTTGTGTCCACATCGTTTGAAAAAATATTCACTGTCGGGTTGTTTGCTACGTTAAAATTGCTTGGTACATCTCCTGGTAAGTTACCAGAACTACTAGAAGAACCACCGGAAGAACCACCGGAAGAACCACCGGAAGAACCACCGGAAGAACCACCGGAAGAACCACCGGAAGAACCACCGGAATATTGAGAAGAAATCACATTCACGTCAGGGTCATTTAACGCAATCACGTTCTTTAGTACACCACCTGCTAACCCCTGTAATTGTATTATTATTTTGAATATGGATGAAACACACAGATAGATAAAGCAATAAAGTTAAAAAATTATATTTAATACTTACAGGTAACGCAAATGGCGTTGCGACCATGGCGCAAGCCATGATCAGACACAACAACAGTACTGTCTTCATGTTGTAATTCCAATTGTTCACTTTCTAATGCTTATGCCACACTGCACGCAGCATTTTATACTTAACCGATAAGCGATCTGTTTGCTCATCATCGACGATAAATAATGACACGCGTCTGTTTCGCTACCCACGTGCCACGCACATGTCACGTACTTAGTGCTTACCAAGACGAATAATTGCTCGTTAGAATAATCGAAAGTTTATAAGAATGTTTCAATGTCTTCCGCACACGTGTCAGTAACAATGCGCACGCGACTCAAACACACAACAAAGTGTCATTTGGAAGAAAAATAATGCAAATTGCTATAAATTTTTTAACATATTACATACATGCTTAGAAGAAACGTTGTTTGTAATCTCTTAATCATCACGTTCTTGTAGAGAGACGGACTTACATTACAATTATTAAAAATGTTTCACATAAACTTTTATAAAAGTTATATTATTTTTTTATGAAAAAGCGAATAGAAAATCATGGGATGTTTTGTGTTCGACGATAAGAATTCGAGAATAGCGCAGAGTGCAGAAATCGCGTAGTAACTGGCGATTGGGAGGGCGCTTGTGTAATGGAGAAGTAGATGTATAATGTACTATACGAAGTTGCCGTACACGCGTTTGTTATCCCTCGTGTATTATCACCGCCGTGTTTCATCGAAATTCAGATTCATCGTTTCGTGCTACGGAGATTCGAAATTCATCGTTTGCTGACGATTTTCTGTCGAGTCAATCGAACGATTGATAAGTTTAGCGAGAAAAATTACAGGAGACAGTCAAAATGACAAACGATCAAATCGCTCTTTGATCATTTGTCGCGATCTTAATTTTATCGCGATAATATCGGCAAAACGAACCGTTTCAATTCCGTGGGATTCGAAATTGGCGCACATTAATCGTAGACGGAAAATTAAAGACGACATTATCAGAGAAATGGATAATTTAATGGTAATTACCCGAGTCGAAATTTAGCGTCTACATTGAACCTCAATTTTTGAAAAAAGGAAATTTCGGACGTATAACAGCGTCAAAGCAGCATCTACTTTTTTTTCTTACTCCTACTTTGAATCTATCAGAGCCTATTTTGAGCCTATCAGAGCCTGCAATGCGCAGCCTGATCTGAGAATTGAACCCTACTTTAAAACTTTAGCAGAAAAAAAAGAAATTTCGGACGTATAGCAGCGTCAAAGTAGGATCTANCCTACTTTAAAACTTTAGCAGAAAAAAAAGAAATTTCGGACGTATAGCAGCGTCAAAGTAGGATCTACTTTCTCTCTTACTCCTACATAAAAAAAAAAAAAGGAATTGAGGTTCAATGTAGACGCTAAATTTCGACTCGGGTACTTCTGTGTGTATATCTTACGCGCGTTACCAAATGTTGCTAACTTATAACATTGTTTTTCTTCGTTGTTTAGACATTTTACGCGGTTTTTTGTCTTTGATGATAATCCTGTAAACTACTGAACTTTTGTTGTCCGAGCGATTTTTGAAAATGAGATATCTTTTGGTATCATTTTTAAAGAAAAAAATATCAAACTAATATTATTTCTTTAATTTAGAATAAACTTGAATAAACTCCCCTTTGAATTTTAGTTTTTTTATACATTTTTGCAACGTTTTAATCAATAAAAAATCGCGTTGAACATAAATGTCAAGGTTTACAGGATTAAGAATAACATGAATACAAAGAAGCATCGTTCGCTTCTTGTACCACGGTATCGCATATATAGAGACATACTTCGCGATAAAAAAAAAAAAAAAGAAAGATCCTGTAATCGGTTAATGTCTAAGAAAGTAATTCATAAGAAAGTTCTCGCTTGCGCATGTAAACGGGATCTTTCCTTGCTTTTTCCGCGAAGTTACAGTTAGCTGCTCTCCGATGCAATCTCACGTACAACACAACGAGCCGAGAGCCTTTTAATAAAGTACCGCTTAAGCAATCTCTGTCCATCAAGCGGGATAACTCTTTAAAGTTCCATTCGCTTGCTAATAAAGCAATAGTATCCCGTAACTTCTGCAGACAAGTTCCTTCCGTGCCTGTCACTCCGTTCGCGCTGTAAGCTTCGCTTGACCATCATTTCCGGCGTGTTTCACTCGACGGCCCGCTTTACTACTCCCGATCGCCGTGTTACCTACCAACCCGTCCCTCAGGAAGTCACGTAGACGGGCGACGCCTGTATGTGTGTGCGCTCGAGTGCGCGAGGATATATCGCGCGTGCACACGCCATACGTCTTTGATGTACTCTTCCGTCACGTCGAATTGAATGTTCTCGTATATCCTGAGCGGAGTTGCCGCTTTTCTTTCCACCGTCGTCGTCGCCGCCGCCCTTCGCAAACTTATCGATTCGTTTTGTCCTCTTTGTGACGGAAGTTCGGTCACGCTAACGTAAAGCGCATTGTGTTCATTGCCGCTTAATCGGAATCAAAGGCCGCGATAAGCGCGCGCGCTTTGAGGAGTAACAATTACGGAAATATCGTTGCGCGATGCGCCTCGTTGAATTCGCGCGCACGTTGAAAATCTCGCGTGCGTTCCTTTTCGCAATTAGAATTTCGCGGCGAGTCTCTTTCGCCGCGAAGAAAAGATTTAATTAAAATTTTCTCGGGCCGAGAAACCGCGGACGTCTCGCATCGCGCGAACGAGGATCTCTCTTTTTCGCGTGAGATGAAATTGTTTTTCAAAACCGAACATGATTAACGGCTATTCGACAAGAGAGAGAATGGTGGCACTTGGTGGAACGCTGTCGATTCTTTTGGCACACTTTCGGAGCACATCGGTGTACATCGCAGCGCGATTCTCTGTTTACGAGTCCGTGTGTACACACACACATATATATATATATACGGCTCGTATCTCTATGTGACACGGGGATACATTGAATTGGACGACCTGTGAGGGCGCGAGTATCGAGAACATACATCATATCTGCGGACTTATACGTGACTTCCGTATATGGGTCGGGGCGTACGTATGTGACGATTGAGAATAAAGCGGGGTGGTTGTAAGTGAAGTGTTTCGGAAATGGTGGTCAAGTTAGATATACCGCGGGAAAAGGACAGGCATATCAACGCTGTGTCGTCGTGTCAAAGACCATACGGAAACTTTGTATAATCACGATTACATTCTTCTCTGCGCGTTGCAATTACACGTGAACGCAACATCATGTTGCATATTGGATGCTTGTGGAAACTTATGGAAAATTAGGTGTGTATATGGGTATAAATAATATCTTTACACTCTCTTGTATTTTTGCTTGCTATTTATTTTAATACGACAATTACAAATCAATTCAGTTTTATAGTGCAAATACCAATACAAGTGCATTTTTCACGTTTTTGCATTAATTTTTTCTTAAATTTTTAAAACTTTTCCATTCTTTTAAATGTAGTGAAGTTTTGCGCGTTGTCATTGAAGAGTTGGCTTGTGTTGAGTTGTTGATTAGACGGTTGATCAGCCACATGAAGGTGGTGAATGTGGTTTGCAAGTGCAAGAAGATCCACCACATCCAGAAGATCCACCACATCCAGAAGAATCATAAATATTACCTGAGTCTAGTTCGTCGGAAGCTATAGGTATGTCGACATTCGTTTTAGGGACGAAATTTATAGACGGGTCTCCTATATTACTTAGCAGCTGTAATTGTAATTTATTATTTTGAATATTGATGAAACACACAAGTAGATGAAGCGATAAAGTTGGAAAATTACACTTAATACTTACAGGTGACGACGTTGCAACCATGGCGCAAGCCATAATCAGACACAACAACAGTACTGCCTTCATGTTGTAATTCTACTTGTTCACTTTCTAATGCTCATGCCACACTGCACGCAGCATTTTATACTTAATCGATAAGCGATCTGTTTGCTCATCATCGACGATAAATAATGACACGCGTCTGTTTCGCTACCCACGTGTCACGCACATGTCACGTACATAGTGCTTACCGAGATGAATGATTGCTCGTGAGAATAATCGAAAGTATACGAGAATGTTTTATTACATAATTGAGATCACGTGACAATTAACGCAATATATACGTTTGTCTTATTAGTTAATAGATAGATAGATAGATAGATAGATAGATAGATATTTATATTTAGTTCTTTCCTTTCGGTTTTGTAGGGAATTCTGTGACACCGCGGCTTCGATAAATCGTCTCGAACGGTCGGGAAAATCGCAGCAACATTGTTGTGCCAACAACTCGATCGCCCCTATGATATTTCGGGATCATAAGTGGCTGCGTTTTATACCGCTGAGCATGTTTGAAGTTTCTGAGATGACTCTCTCTCTCTTTCTCTCTGCCCGATCAAACATGGCTCGATGCTATCTTGTCACGAAAATGCAGTCGGTAAGAATTTCGACGACGGATTTCGCCAACACAATGCGTTCGTTGGACGCGGACAAATAATCTCTCGTCAAAAACGGAGGCGAAGAGAGGAGCTCTTCTCGCTCGTCTTCTTCTTCGCTTCCATTTTCTCTTCTTCTTTCTCCGATGACACACCGGACGCGCTTTATACACCGATCTACCGTATCTATCACTCTCCGTTTGACCGCGTGCGCTGCCCTATGACATGTCCGCGTCTCTCTCTCTCTCTCTCTCTTTCTCTTTCTCCGCTTTACTTACTACTCCTCGCTTTATTTCCAATCGTTGCTTATGTGCAGCATCCGCCAATAATACATATGTATCAGTATGTGAACGTCCATCGCGCGCTCCACCTATCCATTCTTTTTCTTGCAGTAGGTAAGTACGTCAAATTCAACGTGTGTGTTCACATATCACGTGAAAGCAGATCGTGGCACTGATAGATCGCGGAAGACTAATGTTACAATCCCCAAAGACGCAACATTCAATACACAGGGTGCTTCAAAGAAATGTTAACACTTATACGAAAGTAACTTTTTTTTTTTTTATTCGAAAAACCGATAAGACAAGATGTCATAATAACAAATGTATTTTGTCTTCAAAGAGTCTTCAATTGTTCACCGTCACTGTCTCCGGGTGATCTGCCAGAGGCACATTTCAACACACGTGCGAATTTTTTTAAGAACTTTTTATCATTTTCCGTGTGTGTTAACATTTTTTTGAAACATTTTTATTCTGCGATTCTCGGGATATTTCGTTATACGACTTGTTTGTCAGTAAGTTGAGCATGTGATTTAATCGGTTCTTCCATTCCCAACACGCGGATTGGTTACCGCTACTATTATTATTATTATTATCGTCTTATGCATAGTTTCAGTCGAAATTAGTTGACCGCCGGTATGCTTAGATTTCAAAGCCACGTCAGTGCATTAGGAACGCGATGGCGTGATTATCTATCCGCATCCCGCGGGAGGGTGAGGGTTCACAAAGTGACGGTAAGGGGTGGCCTGGTGGTAAATGGCTAGGGTCAACGGGGAATATCGTAGTTACGCATTAGAGGGACACGGGCACAACTGCTCTCTGATAGGTTAACGATATTACCCGCCTAACGACGAAACTCTATACCGTCGAAACTATTCCTAGACGCCCGCCTTGTTAAAAGAGATACGCGGAATTGCATTAATTAATTCAAATTATGGACGAGCGGTTACAGTTCGCGATACACGTTGTTTCAAGATACGCAACCGCGGTTCGGATTACTTTGGTTGTGATTTACATTTTCCTTTTTAACGACGCGAACTCGAATTTGTTCGAAAGGAACCTTATACTTTCGCCGTGTATTCGCGTGTATTGGTTCTGATGTAAAGATATTTCAAGAAATAAAAAGAAACGACGATAAAAAATTAATTAAGCAGATTACTCGTCATCACCGCGTCTTTCAATCTCCCTCGCCACGAGAGAGCGACGAACGCAAGGATGCCCCCCCCGCGCGACAGAACGAATTCCCGCAACAATTTCCCGAGAAAAACGCTTTGACACCATGAAGGTCGCGCAATCCGTTTACCATCCACTTTGGTATGATGCATCACAGCATCGCTCGCAATGACAAATCCGCTTCCGCCGTCGGCCGTGTTTGTTTCCCGATGCGTTGCGACGCCCGCGACGTAAAAATCTCTCGGAGCAAGCGTCGAAAAAGGGGAAACGAAAAGGAAGAGATGATAAGAGAAAAAAGAAAGGGGAAAAAATATATTGAAGCGTAATCCGAAGCCATTTTTTTATTTAATGTTACATGTTCTCTCTGGAAGTAACCTTGCACGTTCACATTGCAACCATCGGCGTGGAAAACAAGTTTTTTTCACAACAGCAATATGATTAAAAAAACATTAGATAGCAATGACAATACATTTCTCAGACACTTTGTTACAGATAGCGCAACTCTCTTTGCTTTTTTATACTTTTAATTAATAAATAATTAAACTTAGTAAAATTCCAAGTGTAATTAATGATTTGTAAAACGATAATATTCGATTTTCAATATATTGAAGAGATTATATGTAATTAAAAACCAACCATGAACATAACGTGTCGCAATAATCGAGTCTCGTGAACAGTCAACTGAGATAGATTACTGGTTATCATTTGACGCCATTCGAATTAACGCGCTTTATTGTCACGTAAACAAGCTAGCTAAAAACTATCAGATAACGTCCACCTTTCTCTAAAAAAAAATAGTTTTTATAAAAATAGTTTAAAAAAAAACAAAACAAAGCAAATAGATGTTTCTGAAGTTAATTGGAGAAGCGTGGCGGTCTCTTGCGGTGTTGAAACTTTCAGTTCAATCTTGTGATGTCATATCGATACATTATAGAATCAACGCCGTAATCTGCAATTCGATGTAATTAAAGCGCATGAGGTGAGCAGATAACCGCGGCATGGCAATGCCGCGTCATATTCACGGTTTCATTGAATTCGTGGCATCGAGCCGGAGTAGATCATTAATTACCTATTACTGACACCCTTGCGGTACAGTTAGCACCATTACTATGTTAAATCGCCATAACCGCCGAATCCTTTGTTGTGACACATAATAAGATTAAATTACCGACATTATATGATGCTTTAGCAGTAATTTAACAATGTCGCGAATGTTCGTTGCGTAATTTGTTAATTATTAAATTGACGGGAAAAAAAAATATCTCTCTTATTTGTTCTTACAGAGAGATGTGCCGAATATGTGTCGTATCTAATAAAATATAATAATAAAACTAATTGCGGCCATAATCACATATGTGCGTATTTTTAAAGAAATAAATAAAAAGTATCTCCGTTTCTAATTAATTCTCTTACACATATTCTTCCGTTATCTCTGCTTCCGTTATCTTTCGCAAACTCCGATCCTTCCTTTGGCTTACGCCGCCGCCGCCCGCACTTGAGCGATCGTTAAACTTAATTAAGCGCTCTCTCTACATCGGGCGTCTTTCGGATGATTTCCGACAATAGTTTCCAACAGTCGGCCAGCACTAGATAAACCCGAGACAGAACCCCCGGAAAGAGACGGGGGTCGATCAGCCGAGAAGGATGGAAAATAGCGGGACAGGCGGGAGGCAAAAGGGTGGACTGGCATCTGGTATGGTGGAGTCTGGGTTCCGCCTTTAACGTGTTGCCGCGTCAGCGTTACACCCCTGCCAACCCCCGTTGCGATTTACTGCTAAATAATATCTAAACAGCCGCATTCACCATCCTCATCCCTGCGCGCTTTCGCGCCACCACCCTCGGCCCCCCCCCCCTCATACCACGCGGCTGTCAGTCCGTAGCAGGTCACATGGTCCTTTCTATTCCTGCCGTCGCCAACTGTCCCCCTTCCAATGTATTCGTAGATCGGCTAGCACCGGTGACAAGATCGTCCCGTTTGCTCGTTCGCTCAACGCGCCACGTAGTTTAGTCGCACTAAATATTTGCGTTGATTAACAATCTGTCCCATTTCCATCTGTTCTATTCTCCGGGGAGAGAGGGAAGAGTACGCGGAGTAGCGCTCAACTGGCTTTCCGGTGAACGATTCGCCGGTTGTCGAGCTCTCGCAGCAACTGCGAGACCCGACTGCGCACTCGTGGTGCACGCTGCGGCCTGGCGCTAACGGTTAATCAACGATCCGCCTCGGCAACTCGTGCCGCCGCGTATTCACCCCGAAAACGCCTCCTCCCTATGACGAGTTGTCGCCGCGTCGCGGTTTGTCCACCGATCGCCCGACGCGCTTTAATTATACCGGCTGCACCGGATTATGTTGATACGACCGTGATTGCGGTCATCGGGTTACATCGCGTTACACAGTGTCGCGCGAACCGAGCGACGTACCGAATATTTCGATTCCCGTCGATCGTTTGTTGAAAATTCGGCGCGTAAGTATTGCATTATATCGCGCGCGCGTGTCTTTCAGTCGCACATTATTATTATTTTATACGATAAAAAGACACAATTTGCGCGTTTCGCGATCGCAACGTTATGTTGCATATTGAATGCTTGTAAACTTATGGAAAATTAGGTAAATGTGTGTAAATAACATCTTCACACGTACATGTATTTTTGCATGCTATTATTTATTTCATTACCAATTACAAATCAATTCAGTTTTATAGTGCAAATACCAATACAAGTGCATTTTTCACGTTTTTGCATTAATTTTTTCTTAAATTTTTAAAACTTTTCCATTCTTTTAAATGTAGTGAAGTTTTGCGCGTTGTCATTGAAGAGTTGGCTTGTGTTGAGTTGTTGATTAGACGGTTGATCAGCCACATGAAGGTGGTGGATGTGGTTTGCAAGTGCAAGAAGATCCACCACATCCAGAAGATCCACCACATCCAGAAGATCCACCACATCCAGAAGAATCATAAATATTACCTGAGTCGTCTAGATCGGAAAGTATAGGTATGCCGACNNNCGTNTNAGGNNCGANATTNANAGNCGGGT